CGCGTCATACTAGGTTGAGGTATCCACACCCTTATAAGGAGTGCTTAGTTCTCCTCACCAACCGATGTGGGACGGGTTGTTACACCCTCCCCCCGTTAGGACACAACGTCCTCGTTGGACCACATCGATCCGGGTCTGGCTCTGATACCACTTGTAACGCCCCCAGAACCCCGTAGCAATGATATTGTCCGCTTTGACTAACCCGCACCTAACCGATCACGGTAGCCGCACGGTTTTCTCCTGGCATGGGCATGAACCGAAGTTCGTATCCCACCCAAAACGCGTCTTACTAGAGAAGGTATCCACACCCTTATAAGGAGTGCTTCGTTCTCCTTCCCAACCGATGTGGGACGAGTGACACACCCGCATCGCGGCTGTTACAATATGGACCTAAAATATCGCCGCAAACCACTCTTTAATTAAAAACTAAAAAAACGAGGAAACAGTGAGCTACACGACTTGTCCCACGCCCAAAGTCAAGGCGCAACCCGTGCATGCCACAGTTTTTACCTGCACGCAACCGATTAAGACCTCAAACCCACATATCTGCAATAATTTTAGGGATCGAAACTCACCAAAAACATTATAGAACCATCCCCAAACATGTTCCAATCCAATTTAAATAATGGGGTTTTAAACTTGTTATATTGGCTTTCATCCATTGAATTAATATAATCCAAACATTTTCTTATTTTATCCGGTTATCGAACTTGGTTTCTTTTTCTGCATAGGATGATAGAGTTAGACTGCTTGAAGCCTATTTGATCCATTTTGTTTTAGGAATATTAGGGGAGATTAGAGATGCACAAAAATACTCGAGCCTCAAGTCCGACCAGAAAAAGTTTGAGCCCCAGTCGAACAAATATAATACTAATTATTTTATCTTTGTATATGAAAATGTATAAAATAATATAAATAGAGACATGAGGGCGGACGAGGAAAGGTTTCGAACAGTAGTATATTATAGTTCTTTTGATCATATTCCTAGTCATTGGGTCAATCAAATGACATGTAACACATAAAAGTGTAAAAACTTGATGATTAACACTCCAAACGTTACATGGTAAAAGGCACACCAATGACATGCATAAAGTTTGAAAAGTGGAAGCATGTATTGCTTGTGCATGTCCCGCATTCAAAGTTTATCGTGTTTAAGTGTATTATGACTTGTTAAATTGTGTTCGGGTTGCAGGGTGTTCTATATCCACTTTGTGATTCGTTGGCTATCCAAAGCTCAAAATGGTAGGCCCTGTTGAATCAGCATCGTTGTTGCCCAAGTTTGACAAATTTTGTGATTGAAAATTCAATTGGATCTGTTGGGACCAATTTGCATTTGATCTTATATGCCTCGCACCTTATCGCAATGGAGCAAGTTTTTTGCAACATGTCACTTCAAAGTGGAATTTTCCAAAGTCATAATAGACCACACATCTCTTATATCGAATTTGTTTAGCCTTCTTAATAAATACAAGATCGAATTGTTCCCAAATTGGGGCTTTACGGTTGTGGCTGGTGACAATAGTTTAATTTTGACTTGCGGTACATGGGATAGAAGAATAATTAACATTGCTACCACTTTGGTTTAAAGTCATATGTTAAAAATAATATTAACGATACATGATTTTTAAAAATTATAAAAATGATGTTAAAATAACAATATCATAATAACGATACAAAAATAGGGAGTTTATAAAACAAACTGTACAACATGTGAAATTTGAATTGAAAATTGCATATTGAGAGATGGCTTGGGATCGGGTTTCAAGCTCATTAGGGTTTGGCTTCATTTGATTGTTTTGGGTTGTCGAATCCAACAAGACATATGCGACTTGCTATACAACTTATGTTCACATACACAACTCTCATGCAACCATTCGAGTTAAACTCTTAAAACTTTAACTTATTATCATTTTTTATATTAAGAATCTGGAGTGCTAGGATTTAATTTATATATTTACAAGTACTTTTTGTGGATGCATACCAATTTTTTTTTATTAACTAACATCAAAATTTAAGCTTATATTATCTATTTTTAAAACATATATGTTTTAAGAAAGAATATTCACAAGTGACTTCCCCGTGCTCCCCTTTGAACATATCTTAGGGATACAACTATTAATTATACAACCTTGGTAGGTACCCTTACCCTTTGAACATATGTTAAGTACAAAATTATATCAAATAAATATTCATTGTTGTTTGGTTTTATATTATAAATAACTCATGTAAAGATAATTTTGTACATGTAAATACGGTAGCATGGTTGGCGGTATCGAGGACCTCAGTCATCATTAACATCCCCATCTTCGTCTCCATTATTGTTGAAAATAAGATTTTATCCTCATTCTCGTCGGAAAAGTTTTCTATTATTTGTATGAAGTATTTTATAGTATTAGTAGGACTCAACGTTTATTTTGTATTTGAACGTTTAAATTGTACATATGTAATAATAAGTTATAGTATTGTGTGACATAACAACAAATGACTTGAACGTTAATATACTTGTTATTAAGAACTTGAAAACCAAGTTCGAGAAATTGAATATATATATATATATATATATATATATATATGATGTCAAATTTTTTTATTTATATTATATGTAATAATTATATAAAACAAAAGGTTATGATAAAATATATTTTATAATTTATAAAGCATTTTGAACATGACTACAAAAGTAAAGTTTATTAGCTCAAAAAATATTATTGAATTACATTTTCTATAAAAGAAAATTTTCTCTAACTATATATTAAATTAATTAATAATTTTCCATATATATATATATTAATTAATAATTTTCCAAAAATATATATTAATTAATAATTTCTTAAAAAATATATATTGATCAATAATAATCAATAACAATAAATAATTATGACATTATTGGATGAAGTGACAAAAAGCTTGCTTATATCAAACTAAACGACAAACTTATTATTTTCAAACGTAATTCTGATTTAGATAAAAGAAATAGAAATTTATTGCTTGCTTGGGTAATTTAATTTTTTTTATCTATATTATATTATAAAACATTTGACAAAAATTCTTAAAAATCATTTTTATGCTTGAAGTACTGTTTATTAATGCATATTACTTAATATTCAAAGTTACAAGAAATTTTGCATAAGTACAACTTATTAAAACTCCATTTTTAAATTTGTATAACTAACTACAGATAAACATAATCAAATACAAAATAAACATTCATTTTAAATATAGAAAATTTAAATTATAATTAAGATAATCATTGAGTTCTAGCAAAAATTTTAATTATTATCTTTATAAAATGTTATATTATTAAACTAAAAATAAATTATTTCATTATTAAACTTAAATTAAAATTTAATAAAAATAAATTAAAGAAATTACATAAAAAGTGAAAAATTTTAGATAGTTGATTTGATACTAACATTGATATATATATTTTTCAAAATTTTATGATATTTTCAAATTTATATTTTATTCAAAAACAAAATCATTATTGTTTTCTTAAAAACACATAAAATGGTATCATAACATCAACAAAGACAAAGAATGAAATAAAATATTACAATCGAGATGTATTTTGATGCATTGTGCAAGTACCTTTCTAATATTAATATAAATCCCTGGATTTTTTAAATGAATTTCCGAAAACAATTTTTACAAAATGAGTAAAACAATAATAGTATGTAAATTAAAAGATCTTATATATTATTTTAACACTTATATTCTTAAAATTTAAGATTTTAATAAATTTTACAATTACAAATGGCAGCATTTTCATATATTTTGGATGGGTCACTTTTTTTTAATCAATTAAAATATTAGTATTAACTTTGTTAACCAATTTCAACCGTCAACATCTTTAATCAACGACATATAGTAATTCAGTTTTTTTAAAATAATTAACGGGAGTAAATATACATCATATATCTCCTTCATATGAAATAGTATCCATATCCTGATATTACGGGAACACGAAATGGAAGCTTAGGGAGAAACAATTTCAATGACACGTATCATTGATCAACAATGTTCATACATCAAACAATGTACACAACTAAACCAGTTTCGAATACAAAATTATAAGTGTCATATTCAAAACAATGTTCGTATGTGAACCGAGGTCATGCATGAATTCAGTGTTTATAAATGAACCATATAACAATTTAAACACCTCATAATGCAACATTTTACCCGGTGAATAAAAGTGACCAGTAAATTAAGATTGTTTGTAAGTGTTAAGAGTTACATACCTTTAACTTGTTAACACTTGAAACATGTTCATAACTACTACGAATTCTAATAGAACTGTTTATAGCTACTATTAAGTATTTCTTGATTAACCATCGATGGTATGTTGAAAACGATGGAACTTATTTTGAAAAAAAAATCACTAAAAACAAACCAAATTAATAGCCTCTTATAAATTATCTATAAGATAACTAAGGAGACCGTATAAGAAAACAAACTTATAAAACTACCCTCGATACATATAAATCAAACTCAGTTATTTGATCTGATTAATAAATTTATGTTAACGAAATTAGACCTATATTTTGGATATATGAAACTTATCGTAGTATATGTTTGCATAAATTTTGTTTATTATGTTTTTTTTGAGACAGTCCAAAAATTTCATTATATTAATCATAAGGGTAGTGTCTGATTGGTTTGAGTTTGGTTCCAAAGGTCACAAGTATGAGGAGGTCTCAAATTCAAATCCAAGGAGGAATAAAAATCCCCTTGTGGCCACGGAAGTTCAAATGCGGTGACTTCGGACTATCTGCAAAGCAAGTGATCGTCTTGAGATTAGTCGGCTCACATAGCGGATTGGATATTCAGGTTAATAAAAAAAATTCATTATATTTTGAAATGCTTTAAAATATTTTAAAATTTTATTTATTCATACTTTACACAAAAACAGTGATTAATGCCCACAGCAATTTTTTAAAGTGGATTGAATCGAGGAACAGATATAAAAGAGTTCGATTTGCATCAGTCTTTTTGCCTCTCGTTTGCATCGCTCACGCCCTATTCTTCATCTTCATCGCCATAGTCAAATCACTCTCTCTCTCCGTCGGAATCTCACAGGTAAGCTCTCTGTCTCTCCCTCTCTTATGCGTATATTTATTTTATTGTATCGTTTTCATGTAAATGTGGCCAGTGATTCTTCCTTGATTTATCTAAGTGGTAAGGGTTTGAACAGTTCTCGTTCGATTCAATTTCTGGTCATGAAAATTTTCTGCTTCATTATGTTGTTCATGTTCTTTTGATTCGTTGCCATTTTCAACAAAATAATCTGTCTGGTTGGAATTTCGAAAAAACAACTCCATGAATTGATTCGAACAGAGTCGTATCCAACGGATCGCTATCGTCATGCTTTGATTTATTCAGTTTAGCTTATAACTACGCATATTTAATTTGAACACTTTGGTTTAGTACTCAATTTCGTGTTAGAAATTTTTTATCTTCACATGATATCTGCTACACGCACTGTTCGTTTAAAGATACAAGCATCTTGATGTATGGTGGTTACACATTACTAGAGTGTAGCATTTCAATGCATGCTGTGATGGTTGTGATTCTCAAAAAATATTTTTTTGACATTCTCCTTCTATTTGTAAGTATATGTTTGTGGTTGCATCACTTGATCCGGAAGCTTTGTCTGCCGCTAGTTGAGTAAGATGCAGTTCTTGATCAATTGTTGCTTGTAAACATATCGAAACCTTTATATTCATTTAATAGGACAGAAGATTATAAAATGGTCTTATTTCAAGAAATGTGCCACGATTTATGCATATATGCACATATTGAATATCTGATTATTTAGGATTTAATTTTGTACCTGGTTATAAAGTGTGTGGTTGTCTTATTCCAAGTATCTCAAGTTGATTCTACTTTTCAAACTGAATTTAGAAGAGACCACAGATGACTGTGCTTCAATTAAATTGTATTTTAATTTATGTAAGATCTACTGAAGCTACCCAATTGGTCACTCAGCTTCCTTCTCTATTTGATTCAGATGGCTTCGGCATCGCTTTCGTTCCCATCAGTCTCTCCGTCTGCTGCCCCGTCTTTGCAAGACAAGTGCAAGGTTATTGTTGATCTCTTTTATTTGTCTCAGTGTATCAAAGACTTGTAAATGAAACAGTAAAAGATCAAATCTTGACCATTAGCTTTCTGAGGGGTAAATTAACAGTTCTGAAGATTTCAAAGAACATTATTAATCTAAGAAAGGTCGTTTTGTTGGTTGATCAGAGCAAAATGAAGTCTGGAAGCTCTTTCCAAAGTGCTCTCTTTGGAAAGGAAAAACGACCCCTCTCTATGAAAACAAAGGTATATAATTGTATTGAACCTGGTTAAATATGAATATGTTTTGATTTTGGAAGTACATATATGCACAGGAAAAAATTATGTAAATGAGGAAACGGTCTCCCCTTTTATATTCCCTACAGCATGTGTTCACTTGACTGTCATGCATCCCACCAACCTGAAGGTTGTGGGTTTGTCTCACAAAAATATTATTGTGTGTAATTTGCCATATGCTAAAAACTTTTGCATGAGGTTCAAGTGGTGCCTGTTTGATTTTTGATGTGTTTCTGGTATGGGGTGAGTGAGAGGGTGTTTCTCCATTGAAATATATCAGGTTGAAGCAAGTTCTTGCTTATGGTGCAGAAGTAAACATAATATTAGTTATTTTATTTACCAAGGATGTCAATTTGTTGCTGGTGGACGTCAAATATCAATATGATACTTGCTATATAAATGACTTGCAGGGGTTTCTATGCCTCTATTTAGCAGAGCTGTTTATCTTAGAGCTGTGTACCACTTAAATAAATAAATAATGTTCACTCTTCGCTTAGTAACAAATGCCTTTCTCCAATTGATAGAACTTTGATACTTTGGGGATTTTGGTCATCAGTAGGTTGTTTGTTTGTGCCTTTTATTAATTATATGTTGTGGGGAGAAAGTGACAACAGCCGTTCATGAGTCATGACCATGTTCCAGCTAGTCTCAGTTTATCTGATATTTAGCTGTATATCTTATTTGCAGTCTAATGGTCGTATAACGATGGCTGTAGCTGTTAATGCTTCACGATTTGATAACATTACAATGGCTCCTCCCGATCCTATTCTTGGAGTTTCTGAAGCATTCAGAGCTGACACTGATGAGATGAAGCTCAACCTTGGTGTTGGAGCATATCGTACGGAAGAACTTCAGCCCTATGTGCTCAAAGTTGTCAGAAAGGTAATATGCTTCACTCTTTTGTTATTGGTATTTCATGTATTCACATGTAAGTGTTCTTTTCTTTTTGGGCTTTTCACCGTACTTGATAAGAAGTGAGGTTTGGATGCCAAGAATATTATCTGCTTATATGAGAACTACATAATAGTGCTGGAATGTTGTGTTGCAGGCTGAAAATCTTATGCTAGAAAGGGGAGAAAACAAGGAGGTACTTTTTAATGCTTAAACAAATGCATTGGTGGGACCTACTATTGTTTTTAACGGGTTTCTTTCACTTGATTCACCAAACGCAGTATCTTCCTATTGAAGGTTTGGCTGCATTCAACAAAGCCACAGCTGAATTGTTGTTTGGAGCAGATAATCCAGTCATTCATGAACAGAGAGTATGATTTAGGAGTTGTTTTTTCTTTTTAAAGTAAAAGAATTTAGGATTCATGTTTTCATCTGGTTAGTGGCACCTCTCTCTATACAATTGCAGGTTGCCACCATTCAAGGTCTTTCAGGCACTGGCTCCCTCCGAATTGCTGCAGCACTAATTGAACGATACTTCCCTGGAGCAAAAGTTCTAATATCATCTCCAACTTGGGGTGCAGATTCTATCCCCATGTTCAATTTATGTGTTCAAATCTTTTGAGTAGGAGAACTGATATTTGGTCGAAAAAAATCATATCTGCAGGCAATCACAAGAATATTTTTAATGATGCTAGAGTTCCTTGGTCTGAGTATCGGTACTATGATCCAAAAACAGTTGGCCTAGATTTTGATGGGATGATTGCAGACATAAAAGTAATGTCTATCTCATTCTTCCTCTTCTCTATAATTCTTTACCAGTGAATATCATTTTTATCTTTTAAGAAATTTCTAACTACAAATGTATTTTACCCAATAAAGAGAAAAAGCTTGTTCACAAATGTGAGAAGTTTGGTATTCGTGAATCCACGTCTTTTAATTCAATGATAAGTTTTTCTTTTCCGGCTCCCAACTTTGCTGTATGGATTTTTAGTAATCACTTCTTCCTTTAAGCATATGGTTCACTAAGCTACCATGGCCCATTAGCAGGGGACTACCAAGTCGATGTTCATCCATCTTTCAGATAGTTGTATTTGTCACGAGAGTTCCCATTTCTAGTCTAGTTGACTTTTGACATCAGTATCTGAAATGATAAATAAATTTATCCATTCAGGCAGCTCCCAACGGATCCTTCGTGCTTCTTCATGGATGTGCTCACAACCCAACAGGCATTGATCCAACTCCTGAACAGTGGGAGAAAATTGCTGATGTCATTCAAGAGAAGAACCATATTCCATTCTTCGATGTTGCTTATCAGGTTTGTTCTTTCTCTTTTATGGTCTTCCCTTGCTTACGTTAATGCTAATATTTTTAGGTCTTCAAAATGAGATACACGCCATCCTTTCATCCAATCGTCAATTAGAAAATTCCATGCAACTGTTCAATTTCTTGTCCGAATGATATCTGTTCAAAACGTTTAACTTTAATGTCTTGAAAGTTATGTTTCTTAAACCAAGTGGTTAAGGCCTTATGGATTGTCTTAATGATTATGTAATAAAAAGTGTGCAGCACTTGATTGCAATAATGATGGACGAAATCTATGTTGAACAATCCTACAATCATATATCCTCAATAGAAAAAGGATCGATAATTGACTTGTCATTGTTGAATGAAATGTCTTTTCCACTTCAAAATTGACTAGAAATATTTTTATTTCTGTGGAGAAAATTGAAACACTTGAATTCACTATATAGAGGGTACCGTATTAGAAACATTTTGAAACTTAAAGTCGAATAACAGTCATTCAATTTGACTTCTAAGAGTACTACTTTGCATCACTAAAACCAAAAAATGGGCTCTTCTTTTCACAATGGATGGAGTACTGAATCTCATGATATTATGCAGGGATTTGCTAGTGGAAGCCTAGACCAAGATGCATCGTCTGTGAGGTTGTTTGCTGCCCGTGGAATGGAGCTTCTAGTTGCACAGTCATATAGTAAAAATTTAGGTCTTTATGCTGAGAGGGTTGGGGCAATTAATGTCTTATGCTCGTCAGCCGATGCAGCTGTGAGGTATGCAACTGACCTAATATATATGTCGTTTATTGGCAGCATTGCCCCTAGTCCATAGTATAATACCCTATTACAAATGCTATTTTTTTTTATATTTCTGTTTCGTGATCAGCCAATACACATAACTATATAGGGCTTTCTTCGGTTATGGTTCAGTTATCATATATTTGTTTTTGTCTAGAAAAAATGAGATCATTGCGTCAGGTTTATTTTTCAGACTTGGTATCAGGTGTGGGATGATTCAGTCTGTTCAGTCATGCTATCTCTGCATTTATCTTTTTCAGTTTAATAAAATTAAAGAAAAAATCTCTATGACGAGAATGAAACTAGGAAAAGGAAATTCTCAAGTGATGTACTTATGATTCATTTTTGCCCTACTCTCTGCCAGTTCATCTAGCCTCTCAACTAGTTTCAGAGAAAAGGCTTGTTATTTTTTCGTTCATCCAAGGACCTAGAGTCGCTCTCTGTCCCACTAAAATCTCAACTGTTAAAAGAAAATTGTTTTACCATCAACCAAATGTCTTAAAAAACCTTCAGTAACAAGAAAATAGGGGAATCTTGTTGACCAAAATCATAAATTCTTTGTAATAATGACGATAAGCAAGTAAATTTGCAAGTTTCCAAAAGGAAATTGTTCTAATTTTGCATGAGAGAAGGGAGCAGCATCCAGAAAGTATTAGCTAGACCAAGTAGCATCAAAAGTTAGCTGAATTGTTTTATAACAGTTGTATCATACTCACAAAATCCACACGTCTTTATAATCGAAGATCTTAGTTTACTTGGTATCTTCTTTATCCAATTATATGATGCTTAAACGTTACAAACACAATCAGCCTACAGGAAGTAACTAGTGTAATTTCTTTGCATGCAGGGTGAAGAGCCAGATGAAAAGAATTGCCAGGCCGATGTACTCAAACCCACCCGTTCACGGGGCACGTATTGTTGCTAATGTTGTAGGAAACCCAGATTTCTTTAACGAGTGGAGAGAGGAAATGGAAATGATGGCGGGAAGGATCAAAAGTGTGAGGCAAAAGCTATATGACAACCTCTGTGCTAAGGATAAGAGCGGAAAGGACTGGTCTTTTGTTCTTAAGCAGATTGGCATGTTTTCTTTTACCGGTCTGAATAAAGCTCAGGTAAAGTTCAATCGAAATCTTGGCTCCTAAGTCATTAAAATATTATGCTATAGAATTCATTTCTTGATTTTGTTAAAAGTACGTTATTTTAGGGGAAACTCTTATCTGCTTGGTTTTTATTGTTTGGCAGAGCGATAACATGACAGATAAATGGCACATTTACATGACAAAAGACGGAAGAATATCCTTGGCCGGTTTATCTGCTGCGAAATGTGAGTATCTTGCCGATGCCATCATTGATTCGTACCACAATGTGAGCTAGAAAGCAATCATTACAAGTTCGAAAGACATCATCAATAATTTGAATGACAGGTGAGGCTTGTTCATTCTGTCTGGATATAATTTTGCAGAAAATGTTGTAACTTTGTTTTGGTACAAAACCCTTGTAGCTGAATATACTAGCCCTGTTTCTTCCCTTTGGGTTAGGGAAGGCATATGTTGACCGCAGGAGTAAGTAGTGGCCAGACTTGCAATAATTAACAGGATCTTGAAAGTTATCGAATTTTATTAGTTTACATTTATTTTTGCATATCTCTGTCTTTCTAAGTGATACGGTGGTAGTCGCACTTTTGAAACATGATTAGGATTTCATTGGTGTGGATATTCACATCTTTTGTCCAAATTGATCATTTATGCTTCTTGATATGAATGATTAAAATTGGACAAATGTTATCAAAACATTTACGAGATGTAAGTATACGATTAGAGAAATAATTACATCTTTATCTATTTTGACTTCAAAAACTCTGGGTTCATGGCTCAAGTGTTGCTGCAACCCTGTTTTCTGCAACTCTTAGAGTCCCTCCAAGTTCGACCGGCACGAGAGGAACAAGGGAATGTAAGACGTCGGTTATCAACGGCCGGTAGCCCGGTTCTGGTTGAACACACAGCACAGCTACAGCAGCCACCTACACACCACACACGTTTTCTTTAGCATATTTTAAAGTCTTTCACCGTAATGCATTAATGGTTTGTACTCTACAACCGATGAGTTGTACAGAAATCATCCTTTACGTACTTGATACAAGTGTTTAAGATCCATTGTGTCCCTGATCACTGGATCTATGACACTCGGAAGCTTTGATCTGTCTGTTAGTTGTGGCATAGCCTGCAAATTTATGGAATCAACAAGCTCAGTTCCACAAGTCGTAAAATACCATTAATATAGTGTCAACCATATTCTTATGGAGCAAATTAAAAACCAACCCAAGTGACGATGGATTGGCACTCAGATGGTGCTAGTTTTTCGACAGGCCGCCTTTTGAGTAGAAGCTCTAAGAGTACAACTCCAAATGCGTAGACGTCACTTTTATCCGTCAGTTTCCCTATAACATGAACAACAGCAGTTTCAGATGTAAAAAAGGTAATGCTTTATAATAGAGATCATAAATCTAAACAATGGACTTTTTGGGTCATCTGTTTTTTTTTTTTTTTTCTCTTTTCTGTTGAACACTTTTCAAGTTTATTTTGGAATTTAGAAATCATTTCTAATTCTGTAAATTGTGAATTTTCATAATTTCTTTTACGGTAAAAGAAAGTGTAGAAAGGGTAAGGGTTGCCCTCTTTTGCAGATCTGAAATCCACAAATCCAGAGCAATGTTGGTAGTTGATTTGTAAATTATGCACGATAAGTTGTACAATTGCTCTGGATTGCAAATTTCAGCTCCAAAAGAAGAAGAAAATTAACTGAAAGAAGAGTTGGATCCTTCCTTCCAACCTCTTTAAAAAGTCTCCCCAACCAACCCTTTTTTGTTTCTATGTCTGTACTTTTAAATAAGTGAAACCCACATAAATTGTGTTTGTTTAATTTTACTGAGGTTGAAATTTCAAAACTAGTAAAACGCGATTTTTGATTTTCTTTTAAAAACTCCATCTAATTTAAATTATACGGTATTGCCAAAATGCATTTGATTTTATTGTCGAAAGTACATTGTAATTTTGTAACAGAAAATGTAAAAGGAAACGTAGGTTTAAGATTAGTTAATCATACGTACCCTCTAAAAGATACTCAGGAGCTACGTAACCCATCGTCCCGGAAAGCTTAATGTTTTTGGTATTGGCCCCATTCATCACGGCGAGACCGAAATCCGAAAGCTTTACCACAAATCATCAAGAAGAGTGAGTGCTTGCATCATACCAGAGTTGAGTTCAGGTGAAAACAAGTGAAGGGTACCCTTTATAATGTGTGGAAGTTTGTAGACAAAACTGTAAAGATATCTTTATATTGTGTGAAGGCTATAACGTAACCTTCACAACACATATTTAAAGATAATATTGCGGTTACAATCTTCACAAAATACAAGGATATCTTGTTATGATAAATGTGAAAATTTCTCACATGATCCACACACAACCCCCCTCTCTCTCTATATATATATACACATAGAGAGTGTGTGTGTGTATATATGATGATTACTAGTACCTTGGCATTGAAATTTGAATCCAGAAGGATGTTAGATGATTTCATATCTCTATGAATCACAGATGGTTTGCAGTGCTCATGTAAATATTCCAATCCTCTGATCAAAAACCCGAAAATTAGTTTAAAAAAAGAGACTCGAACAATTTGCTCTCATAAATGTAAGACAATAAAAGCTACGAAAGAAGCCCCACCTTGCTGTATCTAGAGCAATTTTCATCCGGCAATGCCACGTTAAATTGGATCCACAAGAAGGTCCTATAACGACACCATTCACATTAAATTCTCGTACACATGACGTCAATGCGTATTAGGTAATATCAGTCATTGAAAAAGGTTTGAAAATGGCTCACCGTGTAATTGAGTTTCTAAAGAACCATTCTGCATCAGTTCATAAACAAGTAGTTTGGTTTCATCATGAACACAATATCCCAACAAGCTAATTATATTCGGATGTTGGATTTTACTCAATATATCAATCTCTGTCTGCAAAACCCGAATCACAAATTCTCAAGAACGAATCTTAAAGATCAAGAAACACATTAATGGGATTGAAAGTAACCTGGAATTCTTTGATGGCGGAGATATTTTGATTGTCTAGCCTCTTGACAGCAACCAATAAGTTATCTTCGAGCTGAGCTTTATACACACATCCGAATCCCCCTTCACCTAATATCTCACTTTTGAAATTGTTAGTCGCTGCTTCTAGTAAGTTGTAATCCATAACAGCCACGGATTTCTTTTCGCTACTCGGTTTCAAAGTGCTATTAGTTATACCAATGAATGAAGTCAATGGAAATCCTCTCAATGAATCTTGAAAAAGAAAAAAACATAAAAATGGGTAAGAATTGTGGAAATGTATCAAGAAAGGTTCATTAATCAGAAATTATCAAGACCCAGAATTTTGATTTCTGGGAAATCGTCTTTACCTAATTTCTTGGCATTAATTTTGGTAGATTTGTACATTTTCTTTCTGCGGCAAATCCACAAACAGATTAAGGGCAATAAGATGATTCCCATCAAAGATGAGGCTGCAATGAGACCAATAACAAGCTTTTTGTTTGAATGCGTTTCGTGACTTGGGATATCCACATGAGTTCCTGATCCAATTGTCCAATTTAGCAAACATAATCTTAGCTAAATAAGTGAAGTTCTAAAAAATTAAGCAAGAAACCCAAACGGGAAAATTAACTATAAACTTGAAAACCTGTCGAACATCATTGAATTGAATCCGACGAATAAAATTTCCCCTCACGGACCAAATACAACGGAATTGAGCGGGTTTTTGAGATACATAAAAGTCAATGAATTTCTGTTGAGGATCAAAAGATTTGAAATGGGTATCATAGAAGATGAATAAAATAGTTGCAGAGTCCAATGTTTTTTTTTTTGAAATCTCATAACCCTAGTAACCAAGGCCCAGTGGCATTACATACAGACAGACAAATACATACATATATATATATATATAGAGAGAGAGAGAGAGAGAGTACCAGGAGAGAAGTTCGCCATTGGAGAGATGGGAGCAACAGCAGGTGAAGATTCATGAACAGAGATAGCAGAAACTAAGATCAACTTGTTGGGTCTGGCATCAATGGCGATAATTTGAAAATTCAAACTCAAAATAAACAGAAACCCAACCAAAATTTTCATACCCTCTCTCTGTATCTCACTAGTCAACGGCAATACATGAAAATTTGAAGGAAATGGTTATTGGATCTTGCAAGCTGTGTGTTTAAAAAATTGAATCTTGATTGGTGTTTGAAAAGACAGAAAATTTGGTTATGGGGTAGAGTGATGGAGGATGGTGGTACAAATGAAGATTAAACCATGGATGGATTTGCAGATTTTGGTGACGGAAGTAGGGAAGAGACACTAAAACCAAAGCTACTTTCTTGGATAGAATGGAAATAGGAAGATGTTCAGATGTTCCAAGAAAAGGAAGATTTAATAACATTTATGTTTTCGAAATTACGATCTATGGGGAATTTAATTAAAATATTGACTTATTTTTCTGGTAATTTAAATTGTTTTTTTTAAATAAATTATAATTGATTTTAGTAAACATTAGACTAAACATTGCTTTTGATCTCTTGAGTTTTTAGTGAAATTGAGATCTAAAGTATTTTTGGAAAAAGTCAATAATTCAATTTTTCGTTATTCATGTTTGGATTTCGTTTTGAAAATGAGATTTGACCACTAACATTGTTAAAGATCTTCATTAACGCCACGTGTAAAATCATACAACTTATGTTTTCTTATGTTTTAAATTTCAGGTCCCATTTAAAGAAATCATTAAACCTTAGGGACTAAAAGTGAAGTTAGAGTAAACTATAAATTTGGTTCACAAGGTTTGTCAAAATCACACTTTTTATCTCTAGAGTTTCGAAATTACAAAATGACTGTTGTGGTCTGCAAAAACGTTTGTATTTGACCACTCAATCAGTCCCTCTAACAATCGTTAAACTTTTTTGTTAAATGAGGAGTATATTCGTTCTTTTATTAATTCTTTTTATTTGTTATCCAAACAAAATTGATTTTCGTCAATATTGTTTTTGATTGGGCAAAAGACAAAAATATAATAGAAAGATTCTTATTTAATGAAATTTTTTAACGACAGTTAGAGGGAGTAATCAAGTCCAAACGTTTTTATAAATCACAATGACTATCTTGTAATTTCGAAACTGTAGGAACAAAAAATGTTGTTTTGACAAGCTACAAGGACCAAATTAACATTGTACTCTCGTTGTTTAAAAAAATATAATTTTTGATATGACGTTTAATTTAACAAACAATGTTTACTACTGTGTTCATAAAGTTACAAGGTTCACATGGTGTTGATAAGTTATAGATTTAGTTTTATTGATTTAGTTGGTGTTCATATAATGTTCACAAACTATGCCGGCTCTAGATTTAAAGTGTATTCACATGCTATAACAATAATTTTAAGAAATTGTTCACAATGTGTTCACCTATTGTGTACATTCAATTATGGGTGTACATATGTATTATGAACAGATGAAAGACGAGAGAAAAAAATGGAGATAGAAGAAAGGAAGAAGGGGGGTTTTATGTTATATTAAATTTTATTTTTCAACTAATTTTTTATGGCCTAAAACAGATATCACAAATTTCATAAATCTCAAAAGAAGACCCTCTCACAATGTGGAAAAATATATAAAGATTTATAAGTAAAAGTCATTGATGATTAATAATATGATAAATACTCATGTTGAATATCGTACCATATATTCATTATAATTTATGATCAGGATTCTTAATCAAATGTATTATATCAAATAAATATTTTTGGAAAAAGAAAAGGATTCATGTGTGAATACTATAGTATAGAGTGGAGGAATTAGAGCATCCGTGAATTGTATAGGTACCCAAAATTTCTAATTAATATTAATTAATTCAATAATAAAATACAAAGTTTGCATTGCGATTAAAAAGAATGGTTGGCCAATTGTTTAGCATTCCATTCAAAATATTATCCACGAGCTTAAAGAAGGTCAACTAACAAAACCTAATCCAAACTTATTTCTTTTACAAAATTAATTAAATAAAGACTATAAGGTTTAGTAAGTAATCATTTGATAGCTATTACATGTTGAGAATCACCAAAACAATTTTGGAAAGACAATATTTGAAAATCAACATATAAACAACAATTATCGTATCAAACCTTGTTTTGTTGCACCATACAAATAAGACAACCAAACTCATCGCATCACAAGGATGGGATAACCCTATTTCATCACATCAAGCAGATGTGATAACACATCTTGTTGCACCACAAGGATGCGATCACACCATCGTGTCGCATCAAACAGATGCAATAAACACTACTTGTTGCACCATACAGATGCGGTAAACACCACTTGTCACACCACACTGATATGATAACTCATTTCGTCGCATCATATTGGTGTGAGAACACCATTTTTTCGCATCACATTGATCCGATATAATCAAATCATCGCATCACACTGATGCGATAACAATACACATACGATCACAATTTCATCTTTCACAAAACCGTTGAGTATGTCACCCATATTTCAGTATACTCTGCTCGTGATTATGTCACTCTTATTTCAATATATTCTGCTCTTGATTATGTCACCCTTATTTCAGTATACTCTGCTCGTGATTATGCAACCCTTATTTCAAAATATATCATGCTCCTGATTATGCTACCCTTATTTCAAAATATATTCTGCTCCTGATTATGTCACCATTGTTTCAAAATATATCATGCTCCTAATTATGTCACCTTTATTTAAGACAATTGAAAATACAACATCATAACCCAAATATGCTAACAAATAGCAAATAGTTACGTCCGGAGACACCAAATTCGAAACCCCAAAAAGGTTCCTTACCGAAAGCATTCCAAATAAAGCTTTTGAAATAAAAACTCATCCTGAATCACAAATAGATAGTAGTAGACTTTAATCAGCAACAAATTCATATCATAAACACGTAATCTTCTTTTTCTGTTTGCTCAAACCAGGGACCAAAAAATATCTCACAGACTTTCTTTTCATTTTTTTTCTTATCCCAAAGTAGAAAGAAAAAGAAAACAAAACATATATATATATATATATATATATATAGCAGTGACAAATGCAAACCACCAATATTTGTAAAAATTGTGCAAATCACCCTCATCCGTCGATTTCATTGTTTAATCTTATAAAAAAAGTTTATGAAATTATTTCATATAATATTTTTTTTGATGAAGTTGTTTCATATATGATTATGAAATTGTTTTATATGATATTTATTAAATTTTAATAAAACTGTTTCATTTATTTCTCTAAAATTAATATAATTAAGATGATAATATCTATGATTAACACCTTTCACAATAAAGAAGAATTAATCAACCTCTCATAATTAAAAAAAATAAACAAAATAAAAAATTATGATTGATTTAATAAAGTTTGTACGATTTATACAAATAATGTGGTTTACAAAGTAAATATTCTTTCTCTCTCTCTATATATATATGTATATGTATGTACGGGAGATAAAAACTTTATACCAAATATCCAAAACACACCCGTTAATTTTACATAACTTTTCAAAAACAACCTCAAACTTCCAAACCAACAAATCTGATTATAACAATACACACATTTAATACATCAAATTTTATAAGCATATGATGAAAAGGTCAATAACTTTTTATGTAGGGTTAACGATGTGGTCTAGTAAGATCAAATTTCGATGACAAATTATGGAAGTACCAACTTTGGCAATTGTAGGGTAGCTAATTTTTTGAGGTTTTTTAAACTATGTTTGAATGTCAAAAAGTTAACTTATTTGAACTAATAATCAAATATCTATTGAATATATTGATTTGACAAGTTAAAATTTGTCCTTAAACCTATTTATTTTAATGCCATGAAAATAAAAAAAGCAACATCAACAAAATTAAAGAACATGGTTTCAAATTATGAAGGAGCAATGTAATAAAATACGTAATTAAAATATGATGTGTACTACTTTTTTATAACATGTTAGTATACCACAATTATTATTGTTACATATTCTCTTTTTTAATATTAAATAAATGATTGATGCTTTTGAAAAATTAATATTTAAACTTAAAGTTCAATATCTGTAAGAGTCTCGTAAATCATTAACACATAAATGTATTAAAAATATGTTTTCAAACAGATATCATTTTTGAAAATCTTGGAAGGGAAAGATTTACTTATAATATAACCTGATGGAGTATATCAAATAATTGTCATTTAACAATTAATATATATATTACATATGTGGTTGGGTTCAGGTAAGAAACGTAAGAAGAAATTTTCATCTTTGGGTGCACATTAGGATGATGTGCACCGAGATGAGATGAATCGGATCAAACCCCGAATCAAGTGCTATTCATGGGTGAATTTGAGATTAAAGGTGATCACAAGTTTAGATCCATTCTTACGCTTCTCACCTTAAACTCTCATTTTCACACGATCATTCGCCATTACATATATAGGGTATATAAAAGAACATATTTTAATTATAATCAATCATATTTAATAAAAATATTCTTGCGTTTTTTCAAATAAATATATTCTCGTTTAAACATGTATCTATATCTATCTATCTATCTATCTATCTATCTATCTATCTATCTATCTATCTATATATATATATATATATATAGAGAGAGAGAGAGAGAGAGAGAGATAGAGAGAGAGAGAGGTTGGTTCAAATAGAAACCAACCTTATGGTACAAACTATGGAAACCGATCTTGACCAATCAC